AAGTCTGGATTGCTGCCAAAGTCTTATTGGTATGTTAATTTACTGTGAATAAATTGTCTAGCAGTAATCTTGTCTCAGAGTGCCTCGGCGTATGGAAGGGAAGAGGTCAGAACAGGTAACTGATAAAGCAGGATTCATTAACTTCTTTGTATATATATAATAACACATAAGGCACATATACAATACCAACGTGGTAGGAAATACAGGCAAAGACAGGCAGAGGAGAGAACAGTTTCAGTTTCAGTTCAGAGCAGCAGACTAGTTTAGAGCTCAGCACAGACTCAGAGCTACAGAGCTAAGCCACGCCTAGGCTCCTTGCTGTCTCCTTGTTGCTCACACAGCAAGCACTGTTTCTGTTTCCAAACAGCCCTCATTGGCTGACTTAGTTGCTATCCCTGTTCATCGGCTGACCTTGCTACCATGTCTCTGCCAGCCATGAATTCTCATTCTCTGACAAACCTGAATAATTTGCAACGAATGTTTGATGGAATGTAGCATGCAACGAAGTTCAATTGTAATGAGTGTATTAACGCCCGGGGAAAAAGATGGCACTTGTCTGGCATTGAGTTTCTTCTCTGCAACACCTACTGTATTTTTTGGAGTATAAGATGCACCGAGATTTTAAAGAGGTAATTTTTTTTTTAAGTTTTTGTACTCCGCAGACCTTCCAAACTCTCTGCATGCCTCATTTTTTTTGTGAAAAACGGGGCATGCAGAGAGTTTGAGAGGCCTGCAAAGTGTTCCTGGGGGCGGGGTGGGGGGCAAAACCAAGCAAAAAATGGCCCCGTTTTTCACCCCCAAAAAAGGCATGCATAGCCTTTAGGAGGCTTGTAGAGTGCTCCTGGGGACTGGGGGGACAAAAACGAGCAAAAAAATGACCTGTTTTTTTGCTAGTTTTTGCCCTCCCCAATCCCCAGGAGCACTTTGCAGGCCTTCCAAATCCTCTGCACGTCCATTTTTGCGAAGGGGACGGGGTTTCAGGGAGGCCAAAAATGCTGCATTCAGTGTATAAGACTCGCCCAGATTTTCACCCTCTTTTTTGGGGTAAAAAAGTTGCTTCTTATACTCCGAAAAATACGGTAAGTAGCTTTATCCTGGGCAGAATNCAGACTAAAAGCTTAGCCAATGCCAGTTGTTTAGTTCTGTGACCATTTGGGGGTGCTGCAACAATCACAGGGCTAAGGACCTGTTGTAAGTCACTGTTTTCCAGCATCATTGTAATTTCAAGTGCCCATTAAATGAATAGTCGTAAGTTGAGGACTACTGTACAACTGTCTTCTCCAGCTTTCCAGAGGGAGCAAAATAATCAATGTAAATGTCCAGAGGAGAGGAAAGGAGGGGAGGGGAGGGGAGAGGAGGATTGGGAATGGAAAGAGTGGAAAGGAAGGGAAAGAGATTGAGAGGGGAATCAGAAGGAGGAAAGGAAAGGGAGGGAGAAAGAGAGGGAGATAGAAAGAGAAGAAGGAAGGGAAGGAAAGAAGGAAGGAAGGAAAGTAAAGTAAAAAGGGGTGGGTGAGCAGGCAAGGGGAGAGGACAGGAAGGAAGGAAGATAGAAAGATAGAAAGAAAGAAAAAGAAAGAAAGAAAGAAAAAAAGAAAGAAAGAATGAGAAGGAGAGGAAAATAAAAAGGGATGGGTGAGCAGGCAAGGGGAGAGGAGAGGGAAAAAGAAAGGAAGGAAGGAAGGAAAGGAAAGGAAAAAGGGATGGGTGAACAGGGAAGGGGAAAGGAGAGAAGAGAAAAAGAAAGAAAGAAAAGAAAGAAAGAAAAAGGAAGGAGAGGAAAGGAAAAAGGATGGGTGAGCAGGCGATGGGAGATGAGAGAAGAGAAGGAAGGAAGGAAAGAAAGAAAGAAAGAAAGAGAAAGGAAAGAAGGAAGGAAGGAAGGAAGGAAGGAAGGAAGGAAGGAAGGAAGGAAGGAAAAATCCTAGCTCTCTGCTTTTTCACTAAGGACAGTCCTCACCCCAGCTTTCCAATTCCTCCATTCATTCTCGTTTCTCTCCCATCCAGATGTGCGGCTGGAGCAGTGTTACATGAAGTGGGCCGAGGACGAGTGCACCGTGGCGCTGCCAGGGAAATACCGCATCGACCTTTGCTGCTGCTCTGTCGGCGCAGCCTGGGGCAAGGACTGCGAGGAATGCCCCAAGCCCGGGTCAGCCGAATTCAAAGCCATCTGTCCGCGAGGACCCGGCTTTGCCAACAGGGGAGACCTCTTATCCGGCAGGCCTTTTTACAAAGGTGCGAGGACGGGGTGCGGAAGGACGATGGCGGAAATCCATCTGTGGGGAATAAAATGGAAACCAAGGAGGGGATAAGAATCAGTGGAAGGTTTAGCACGGGGGGGGGGGAAGGACATAGCCATAATAGGGGAGTAAGGCAAAGATTGGGGATCCCCCTTAAACCACAGCTCGGGAGGGGCACAGGGGTGAAATGCGGCAGGTTCTGACAGGTTCTGGAGAACCGGTAGCGGAAATTTTGAGTAGTTCGGAGAACCAGCAAATGCCACCTGTGGCTGGCCCCAGAGTGGGGAGGAAATCGGGATTTTGCAGTATCCTTCCTCTGCCACGCCCACCAAGCCACGCCCACAAAACCGGTAGTAAAAAAAAAAATGAATTTCACCACTGGAGGGGATTTAGAAATGCGTGGGTTCTGCTCTATTGACCGAGAACCTTGTCAGAGTTTGCTGCAGCAATCACATCCAGAAAGTACACACAGGTAACTGTTGTGGCCCAGCAGGAGCCGCTGGAGCTGCAAACAGACTCCGATAGCGAGGG